TTTTTTTTTGATACTATAATACATTTTTTATGTTTTGAGAAGTAAATATTGATAACATTTTTAATTAATTTAGTTTGGAGAAAAAAAAAAAAGCTATTCCAATCAGTTGCCTATAAACTCTTAATGACAATAACATCTTTGTAGTTATATGGAATAATAATGATTTGATGAAAAGGATGTTTAAGTATGTAAATAAAAAAGAAAAACTTAAAATTAAAAATTAAAAAAATTAAAAAAACTTAAAAGAAGTTTGAGGTTTGAAAAAAATCCATAAGAGACTTAAAAAAACTGAATTATCATTAGACGTTCAATACACAAAATGAACCAATTCTCTAAAAAACCAAGAAAGTGGATGTCTCCATTAGAAATTAAAGCCATTGTTGGAGAAATGAATAATAAACTACTAAGTTTGAAAAAAAAATATAAATTAGTTAATAAAGATAAAAATTAATAAATAGATTTTAACATTAACACAGTATATGACATTAACAGAAGATTGTATGTAATCAAGTTATCAAAAACAGATTGTAAAGAATTTATTGTTATTGAGTCAGGAGTTAGAGTTCATCTAACAGAGTATAACAGAGAAAAATCAGATTTTCCAAACAACTTTACTTCTAAACTAAGAAAATATCTAAACAAAAAGAAATTAATTAAAATTAATCAAATAGGTAATGATAGAGTCATTGAATTAGTGTTTGGAAATGTTACTGAACGTTATTCATTAGTAGTTGATTTATACTCTAATGGGAATATTTGTTTATGTGATCAAGAATATAAAATTCTTTTAACATTAAGAAGTTTTACATTTGATAAAACTGGAGATAAAGTTGCTGTAGGAGAAAAATACCCTCTTCATCTTCTAAGTGATGCAAATGGTATAGATGAATTAAAAAAAATAATAAAAGAATACAACACAATTTTTACATCTGAAAGTATGAAAGGATGGACTTTAAAACAACTAATAAATTATACCAGTGATTTTGGACAACAACTTAGTGATCATTGTTGTAGTCAATTTGGTAAAGAAAGTAGTAAAACAAAAAAATTTGAAGAGTTTAATGAAGAAGAAAAGAGTTTAATGAAAAATATTCTTGAAGAAGCAATAACACGATATGAGAAAATTGATTCAGGTAATTGTAAAGGATATATTTTCTATCATGAAACACATCAAAAGAAATATTATGAAGAAGTTAGTTGCGATATTTTCAATCAAGATAGTAAAAGGAAATATATTGAATTTGAAAGTTTTGAAAAAGCAATGGATGAATTTCATAGTCATATTGAAAAACAAGAATATGAAGCAGAAGTAGAAAAGAAAGAAATGATTATGAAAAAGAAAGTTCAAGCTGTTATTGATGGACATCAAAAAAGATATCAAGGATTATTAGATAAAGCTGAAACATTAAAAAATGAAGCTGAGGCAGTTGAAGAGAATATTCAAGTTGTTGATCAATTAATTCAAGAAATTAATGTATTTTTAAAAGAAAAAATGAAATGGGAACAGATAGAAGGAATTATTGAAGAATTAAAAGAAAATGATCCAACATCTATTGCAAAATATATTAAAAGATTTGATTTTAAAAATGAAGTTGTTGTATTAGAACTAAGACATACAAATGAAGACAAAATTATAGATGTAGAAATTGCATTAAACAAGAATGGTTTTGAAAATGTTCGTAACTTTTATGAGATGAGAAAGAATATATTAGCTAAAGCAGAAAAAACTATTGAAAGTAAAGATTTAGCAATTAAACAAGCTGAGAATAAACAAGAAAGAGTAGCAAAAGAAAAGAAAATAACTTTAGTAGATGTAAAGAAAATGAGAAAAAGATTTTGGTTTGAGAAATTTCATTGGTTCTTATCAAGTGAAAATTTTATTATTATAAGTGGTAAAGATGCTTTACAAAATGATATCATATATCGTAGGTATATGAAAAATACTGATATTTATGTTCATGCTGATATTCATGGTGCTGCGTCTTGTATTATTAAAGGAATTCCTGGCAAAACTATTGGAGCCCCTACTTTAGAACAAGCTGGTAAAATTGCTGTATGTAGATCTTCTGCATGGACTTCAAAAATTGTTACTTCTGCATGGTGGGTATACAGTGATCAAGTAAGTAAAACAGCACCATCAGGAGAATATCTTACAACTGGTTCATTCATGATTAGAGGAAAGAAAAATTATCTACCACCTGTTCCATTAGTTTTTGGTATTGGAATTATGTTTGTTGTTGAAAAAGAAGATAAAGAAAACCATGAAGAAATTACTCAACAAGAGACAAAAGAGGTCCAACAAAAAGAAAGTGTAGAAAGAATTATTGAAATCCATGAACAAGAAAAAGACAAAGAACAAAAAGAAGAAAACCGAGAAGTTGTTCCAATTCAAGTAGAAGAAGTTAAAGTTAAGAATCTAGAAGTTAAAGAAAAAGATGAAGGTAGTAAAGTCACTATTGAAGAAATCCAATTTAAAAAGGTAGAATTTTCAAGTAAAAAAGAAGAAGAAGAGGCTAGGTTACAACAAAAATTAGAGAAGAAAAAACGTATTGAAAAAAGAAAAGAGATTGAAGATAAAAAGAAGAAGGATGAAGAGGAAAAGAAAAAGAATAAAACTGTTCGAGGTAAAGCTGGAAAAATGAAAAAACTTAAGAAATATGAAGAACAAGACGAAGAAGACCGTAAAAAAATGGAAGAAAGAATTGGTCATAAGTTTAATGTAAAAGAAGAAGAAAAACCAAAAGAAGATATTAAAAAAGTTGTTCCTGTTCAATGCTTCTTTTGTGGATCAACTGAACATTTGGCAAAAGATTGTCCTAAAAGAAAAGAGGAATTAAAGAAGAAACAGGAGGAAAAAATAAAAGAACGAATGGAAGAAGAAGAAGGGATTGATGATGAAGAAATGTCTATTGATGATACAATTTTTGTAGGTGAGTTAGTAGAAGGAATGAGTGTTAAATTTGCTGTTCCAGTTTGTGGACCATATGAATGTATTAGTAAGTATAAATACCACATTAAATTAACTCCTGGAAATACTAAAGCTGGGAAAGCAATAAAAAATATTATTGGTTTGTGGAGTACTTGGAAAGACCAAACAGAACTAGAAAAACTTCTTATATCAGGAATTAGTACTGACGAGTATATTGGAGTAATGATGAGTGATGTTACTGTTCATCAGCCTAATGGAAAAATTAAAACTCAAAAATGGAAAGGAGGTTCTAACAAAGAGAAGAAAAGCAAAGGCAAAAAATAATTGGAAGTTTTGATGATTTTAATTATTTTTCTTGTTGTTTTATTATTAAACTATTCAGAAATCTATTACTATGTAATGTTATTTAGATATTGCTCATCGATTTAAAAGAATTCTTTGAATAAGAAACAGAGTAAAAGATTTAGTACTAACGAAAAGAACAATGAGCAAGTTTTACACATTATAAAGACGATGGAGGCTATATTTTTATAAACTAATAACACAAAAAGAATAGAAATAAATATATACTCTTATTTGATAAAACGATTTTTAAATTTACTAATTGTTTTTAATTATTTAAAAAGATGTGTGGTGTTCGTTTTACAAAGAAAAAGATTGATTTGTTTGAAGAATATAATATTTATAACTTAATGAAATGTAAACAACAATTAAAATCATCTTTATAATATTCTCAATCTTCTACTGTATCTACTATACATATAGTTAATAAATTTAAGTTTATTTAAGATTAATTAATAATGAAAGTGATAAGGAAAACAATACTAATAGAGGTATAAAGAAATGAAATACAAAAAAAGTCATATAAGAACTATTAAAACAATAATTAGATATCAAAACAAGGTTATTTCAATGCATAAATATAAAAATACATAAAAAATATGAAAAAATAAAATATTTAAATAATGATATTAAAATTAGAACAAGATGAAATATATACCTAATCAATATTAAACATTATTCTAGTCGATAGAAAAACATTAAATGATTATTATTTTAACAATATACACTGTGAATAGAAAAATCAACTCATTATTAGAAGACGTTTGAACATATTTTGTGATTAACATTATTTTTGTAGGATAGTATTAAATTCTAATAAATATATAGTATCATTAGATGTTATTATTGATACAAAAAATTAAACAGAGCAATTAAATAGATACATACAAATCCATAAAAAATGAAGTAAAACAATGAAGTAAACAACTCAAAGTATCTGAATTATACTCTATTAACAAAATTTGAATTCATTATTTCATTTAAACATGAGATAAAAAATAATTATATTAACAACTACAAAATAATTTATCATACTAAAGAAAAAAGTGTTATTTTCATTAAAAATAACTAAATTTGAAACATGGTAAATGAAAGAATAATAATTACATCTAAATCAATTTCATATATTAAAAATTGATAAGAAGGATATGAATAAATGAAGGGTGTTTATTGAATGAGAATGGCAAATACAAATCTGTAAATCTTAACATAGTTTTAATCATAATCTAAATGATGGAATAAAGTAGAAAACATACTATAAGTAAGGATAATAAAAAGAATATAAAAACAACACTCAAACATGTGGAAAGACAAACAAGAAATCTGAGAAGAAATGAAGAAGTGATATAATTTTATAAGAGAAAATTATTTGAAAGAGATATTTTTATGAATAGAAGAAGACAATTATTGAAGAAGAAGATAGTTAGATTATTTGAAGAAGAAAACAAGCACAAAAAGGATAAGAAGAAATTAAAATGAACAAAAGTTAAAAAGTATTATGTTTTCTGATTGATATGATAAATAAAAAAAGAATTAATAAATGAGAATGATTATAATAAATAAAAGAAAGTTGTAAGAACAATGAAATGAAAAAAAGATAAAAAAGTTACAAAAAAGAAACAATGAATAACTTCTTTGTAAATAATATAAATTAACACTTTTCATAATTTTAATTGTTTAGAATAATAAAAAAAAGATAAAATTCAAAAAGAAGATAAGTGAATTTAAATTAGATGTCTTCAGGAAGTTGACAATATGAATGATAAAGTGGACCAGTTCCTTTTAAGAAGTTTCTTCTTAAACCAAGACATCTTACATAATTTGCACGGACTTCATGACTTTCAGGATCAGTAATATCTTCTGAACTCCAAAATCTTTCTGCAACAGCAGAGAATCGTTGGAAAACTCTATCAAAGAAATTTTGTTCATCAGCATTTTCATCCCATGAACATGCTTCTCCTCCTAATACATTTTGTTTAGTAGCATAATCTAAGTCTTTAATTGGATCATTTCTATACATATCTCTATTTGTCCATACCCACATATGATTTGGATTAGTACAACTATTTTCTACATAATCACTACATAATGGCATTTGCATATCTAAATAATATCCTGCTGATAAAATAACTTTATAACCTGCTGTTGCTGCTTCTTTTAATAAATTAACATTATTCCATACTTGAATAATAGTTTTTTTATCTGCACTTCCTTTTTGATAAACTTCTTCCCAACAAACTGGTGTTTTACCATTTTTAATAATTTGTTCTTGTGCATATTTATTAAAATATGCTTCTAATTCTTTTAATGTATTAATTCCTTTATTATTCATCCATTCTATTATTGCTGGATATTCTTTTGCTTTTGACCATGCTCCTGTCCAAACTTCATCTCCTCCAAAATGAACATATTCATTTCCAAATACTTCTCCCATTTCTTTCATTAATGCATCAATTATACTAAATGTTTTTTCATTTGCTGGATTTAATGCTAATACATTTTCTCCATATCTCATTGAACTACTAACAATATAATCCCAAATATCTGCAACTACTCCTGGATATCCTGCATTCCATGATGCTGTATGTGCTGGTGTATCAATTTCTGGATATACTATAATTCCTCTTTTAGCTCCATATTGTACTAATTGTTTAATAAATGCTTGTGTTAATACTTTATTTTGGAAAAATGCTCCTTTTTTACTTAATTCTGGATATTCTTTTGATTCAAACATAAATGTTTGTGCATCACTTAAATGAATATGTAATACATTTGCTTTAATTGCTGCCATTGCATTAATAATTTTTACAAATGTACTTCTAGAAAATGAATTTCTAGCTGTATCAATCATTAATCCTCTCCATTGTAATCTTGGTTTATCTTCTATCATAATTGGTATATGTTTAATAATATATTTCCCTTGATATGGTCTTAATAATTGAATTAATGTTTCTAATCCTAATCTTGCTCCATAAACTGTTGTTGCACTAATTTTAATTCCTTCTTTTGTAATATCTAATGAATAACTTTCATCATTTCCAATTTTAAGTGTTGGATAAATTTCTTCAATACTATTTCCTGTTAATTCAATATTAACTGTATTTGCTGAATATACAATATCTCCTTTCATTTCTTCTATATCAATTGGTGCAAAAATTGAAACTCTAAAATCATCAAGATTTCTTTGTCTTTGTAATGGATAAGTAATTGTATGATTAAAATTGAATGTCATAAATGATAAACAGTTAGGGTCACTTTGACAATTATTTGATAATACCATTTTAATATTTGATGTTGCTTCAACACAATCATTTCTTCCAAATTGTGCATTGACGGTTGTTGGATATGGCATTAAAAGTAATTGATTTTTTACATTAACACCATTACCAGCAATGCAATATGAAACAAAAAGTAAAAGAACAATCATATTATATTTTTAAGTTTAGTTTTCTTTTTCTTTTAAATTAACTATTTTTTATTATAGTAAATTATTTATTTCTTTTTGATTATTTCATTTTCCTTTTTTTTTATTAATCTTCTGATTACTTCTAATTACTTTTCTTTTCTTCTTGAATTCTCCTTTTCTATTTACTTCATTCAGTTTGTATTCTTCTTTTCTCCTTTCCTTTACTCATCATCTCTTTCCTTTACACGCTATGCTAGATATTACTTTTCACTTTTATTTCTTTAGGTATTAATTATTCAATCCACTTATTTGCTGTTTTATCAAAAATTTATTCATAGAATTTTTGATAATGAAAAAGTTCAATCAAGAAACAACATTTAAAATGAATATTGAATTGTTTTTGTAGAGTAAATACTGAGTGAATAAAAAATTTAACACACAATAACAATGGTATTGAAAAGTTGGTAAAACAACAAAGTAAAATGGTTAAGTTATGAAAACACTACCTGTTAATAAAATGGGAGGTAGAAGTCAATAGAGAAAATGAACAAAACACACTAAATGAATACAAAATGACACTTTCAATTAATAATGTCAAAAAGCACAAAAACAACAAAATTAAAGAATTATCAAAAAAGAGAATTTCTACTAACATTAATTCTTGATACAAAAAGAAAAAATACATTAAATCAATAAAATGAATAATACTCAACTGAATTTAAACATTAAAGGTTTAGATTAAAATATTTAGTATTAGGTTGAAGCAGTACATAACTTGGTTAAAAAAACAACACCACTATTTATTAATATAATATTACATAGAAGGAAATCATTAATTAAATAAGAAAATTAAACAAACTTTGTATTAAATGAAAAAATAAATTAAAATTATGAATGAATTAATGAAAATAAACCAAAATTCATTATGACATATGAATTGTATACATTAACAATAGAATATTGCAAATAAATTGATTAAAAATATCCTTTTATGAATAAATAATTAGATAGTATCACTTCAAACAATTAATTAGTAATCATATGAAGTGATTAATTAAATTAATTAACAATAATATCTTACAGATTTCATTTTCTATCTAAAAGAATTAAATAAAACACATTTATTAATTTAATTGAATTGAGCAGTATATAATAGAAATAACTATAAACAATAAAAGTAATTAGTTATTTGTATTTGAATGTTGTATACAATTTCAATATAACTACATTAATATAACCATCAATATTATTGACAAAATGGATAAAAATAATGAGAGTAGATGGAAAATAGTTATTTAGAATAAACCCAAAACAAAAAAATGTCAAATATTGTTCCAATACCAAGAGAATAAAACACAATAATGTCTTTCAACTAATCAATTAGAATTTATGAAATATCACTAAACATAAAATAACAAGAATATCTAGAAAATTCTTAAGAATAAATTCAATACCATTACAACTCATAGTTTTATATAACCAATTTATAGAAACTTATCAAATTAATAATTATTTTATCTCAAAAATATAAATAATAAACAAATATTGACTATTATGAAGAACAAACAGAATACAATACAAAATAATAAATGTATAATACGAAATAAGAATATCACCATTCATATATCTCAAAATCTATTAATTACAAAACAATTATCAATGATATAGAATATAATATTTTGATTTATTATATTGAAAATAAACAGAAATTGCAAATATTAATTAAAATAAATCTAACTCTTCTTTTTTTTTATTTCAAATATTAATAACATGAAAGTATTATGTTCTTAACTAAATAACTAGTTACCATGAATGAAATGCTGTTTTATAACTTCTGAAGTTATTTAAATTCTTTTTTATAATTATTGTTATAAAATAAAAGTAATATCATAATACAATATTATAATTATTAAAATGTCATAGTCAATTTATAAAGAAAAAGTTGAATTAAGAGTATTAGAAATTATAATACTAATTTATATTATTGATAGTCCTTTCATTAGATAATATACTTCTTTATTTCAATTTTTTACAGTCTCTTATGATAATTCATTTCGATTTTCAAATAAACTTTCTATTCATTTTTAATGACTAACTGTTTTATTTCAGAATATTCATTATATTAATGTTATATTATCTAAAACAACACTTCAAAAACATTTCATTTATTTTTAATTTGATCATACTCTTTGTGATTATTAACTATTTCAATTCATATCATTCTTAATATACAAACTTATCTATAATTTCTTTTTAAAGTATTTCATCATGTTTTAATCAAAAAAAATATTAAATAATATTTTTAATGGTATTTTGAATATTTTAACTTATATTCTATTGTATAGTATTTATAATACAGTATATTTTAGATACAGAAAACATCATAACACAAATAGTTATATTTAACAAATGTTTATTTGATCAAAAATGATAAAAATTACTTATATATTTGTTTAGAAATAGATTTGATCATTTTTTTAGTTATTTGAATATTCATTGGAATACCATGTCATTATTATTTTTTTATTTTATTTAATAAATATTGACATGACTTTTAATAGATATTCACAACTATGTCATTATAAAATTATTGAGCCCCTCATCACCAAAATATTTAATATCACTGAAACTATGTTACACAACACCAATTAATAAATTTCAATTTACAACACACAAAAATAAACAATATGTTAAATAAAAAAAATAAACAGGTTTGTTGATTAAATCATTTGTATTTCTTTCATAAAACCAAAAAAATAAGCTTCAAAATGAGATTTTATATTTTGGTAGAACCATATGATATGTTAATGGGTCTATTACTTTAAACTTTCAAAAAAGGAGTTTTACGCAACCTTAATATTAATTTATTTATACATTCACTTAATGATACTAGAATGTATACAATGACAATTTTTTGTCTTTGAAAACAAAATTAGATACTTAATTGTATTATAAAAAGAGAGTAATGGATATACAAATATAATTTTAAAGGTTTATTAATAATTTTTTAAAATATTCTTTTTTTCCATTATTTTAAAATAAATTATAAAAAGACTTTACTAAGATAATATTGTATGATAAACACTTCCACAACAATATCCTTTGTGACCATAACATTAAGGTGATAAACTTTGTTTCCATAATGCTTTTTGTTTATTTAAAGTATGCAAAATAGGATTATAAATATTATACTAAATCACAAATTAGACAAAAATTCCAAAATAAATAAAGAATAGATACAATAAAATTTAAAGCTATCTATCAAATTTTAAGATCTAATGATTGTGTGAATGTTCACAGAATTTTTGTTTGTAGTGTAATGCTTTAACAAATCAAGAAGAGAAAATATAAATGAAGAAAAAGATAACCAGACAATAATGATAGGTAAATTTTTAAAATTTAATTAAAAAACAAAGTAACAAAAACAATGAATTCACCCAATAAAATAAAAGTTTTAATTCTAAACCAATCATTATCAACTTCTTTACATTTATTTGTATTATCAATACTGTTTTTAGAAGATAAATCACTTTTTTTTTTAATTTAAAAAGGTAAGGATCTTTGTATTTTCATAAGGATGATTAGAGGATTTGAAACAAGGATTTCTGAGCCTTGTCCTTTATTTGGATCAGCTGAACTAACTTCTTCTGAACCTCAAACAACTCAAGTCACTCCACAAAAATCTGATAAGTCTATTAATTGTTTTGATCTTAGTCATTCAAATCCCCAAAGAGTATCACTTGTAAGAAGTCGTTCTGTTGTTCTTACAGATGAAATAATAAGACCGATTACACCTGTAAGAAGTTCACATCCATGTAGTATTGGAAAAATTTCAACAAAATTTTTCTCAAGAGTTGGATTTAAAACCCTTTCTCCTTATGATTTGAATCAATTAATTAATTCATCGAAATTAGATGAATTATTTATTGTTGATGTAAGATATCCATATGAATTTAATGGAGGTCATGTAAGATATTCTATGAATATAGCAACTGACGTTACATTATATAAAGAATTAAATAAATTATTTGAAATTAACCATTCAAAAAAAATTATTTTGATTGCTTATTGTGAATTTTCTCAAACAAGAGCTCCAAGTCTTCTCAAAGAATTAAGGCATACCATTGGAAATAAACTAATTGACATTTTTCTTGTTGAAGGTGGGTATGAAAGAATATTTGAAGAATATCCATCTTTATGTGAGGGTGGATATATTCAAATGAATGACCCTCGATATTTTGAAGAATTTATTTATTATTCAAGAATATATTCCCACTCCACTACCCATCATTCCGCTACTCGAAAACATTTTCTTCAAGGAAAAACCCTTTCTTTTTGATTGATGTCTTTGACTTTTTTTCAATTCAAAAATTGTTATTTATTATTTATGTTTTATATTACAGAAAAAAATTTTGTTATAGAAAATCAAATGAAAGTCAAAAATTCCAAAAGAAAAATTAAATTAAAAGAACTGAAAAAAACTAAAAGTTTTTAAGCTACAATGACTGAACAGATAGAACAAATCTTGTTGGTTATTAACCAATGTATGATGTACAGAATTAAGCCAATGACATCACCAAATATGAAATATAAGTTTGTTTTTATGAATAAAAATTATCTAATATTTGAAAGAGAAATATAACCTTCTTGTTATTCTTTTTGAAAAGAAAAGAGAAAATGAGAACTTATATTTAAGGGCAGGTGAATGGACACCAGAAGACTTTTTATGGCAAGGAAAATGTGTTGTTGTTGCAAGAGGAGACCAATGTATTGTTAAATTTGTAGATAGTAATACTGATGCTACATTTGCTCAATGTCCTGTTGGACCAGGTGCTGTTGAACCAGTCATTGACTCATCAAGATATTTTGTTGTAAGAATCGTTGACGAAACCCAAGGAAGAAAAGCCTTCTTAGGTATGGGTTTCCAAGAACGTTCTGAGGCATTTGATTTCACCGTTGCTCTCCAAGACTTCGAAAGAAGATTAACTGAACGAAAAGAACGAGCCAATAAGAAGGAAGAACCAATTGACATGTCTGCTTTTGAACTTAAACCAGGTCAAACTATTACTTTGAATATTAAAAGTACTGCCCCAACTGGAAAGAAACCTTCAAAAGGTACTTTACTACCACCACCATCATCTGGTAAACGAGCACAATTTTCAGCACCTCCTTCAGTACAAAAACCAGCTCAACCAGTAGCCAATGTTCAACCCCAACAGCAACCAAAGAAAGACAGTATCGACAGTTTACTTTTCTTTTAATTTCAAGTAATTTTTATTAAAGAGTTTTTATTCATGATTTTTTTTATGACTTTTTAAATAATTTATTGTAAATACAACAAAAGATTTTCATAGTTCTTTGATTCTTTTTAATGTGTAAGTTAATTATCACTAAGAAAACAATAAGTCTTATAAACATATTGCTTTAATTTTCTAGTTCAGAGAAAAAATTTGCTGGGTTACTAAAACACTTATATTAATTTTTAATTATTTTATTTCAGTTATAGCCAATAAATATTCATTTAATTTTAACACTAATTAATTATAGTATTTTTAAATCAATTAGCTATACCATAGTTAAGATGTTGTTTTTTAAAAATAAAGAGGTCATTATTTCTTTTCTCTGCTGTAAGTTCAGAGAAAATAATTCGAATGTCTCTCTTGTTATAAATAATTTAATCATTTTTAAAAATGTTTATTAAATTTTTAATTCAATAAAATAAGGGAGTTAAGTCATTTGAAATACAATAGTTTTATGTAAAATGATAAATTGTTATATTTTCTTGGATCTTCTCAATACAATAACTTTGAATTGAAAAATTACTATCATAAAAGAGAATTAAAAAGAAGGTGTTTTAGTTTTGAAAAAAAATAGTTGGGTAATATGTTATTATGTTAGGGAATAGATAACATACTAATAAAATAGACTAACACTCTTTTTTCTTTATCTAGAAATTTTTTGTAGCACTCTTAATATAAGCAAAAAGAACAAATAAGAAAATAATTTTTTATTTATAAGTTGTTAAATTAATATTTTAAAGTAGTGTTATTTCATTGATTAACAACTAATTATCAGAAGAAAAGAAAACATTATGAAAATATATGTATGATCTTTTTAAGACACAAATTTTTCTAAAAATAAGTTCCATGAAAAACAATGAAATAATAATCAGGAATTCACATTATATTTATAAGGTTTATCAGAATTAAAATACTTTTTAAGTAGAATTAATTTACATAACTCTTTTTTAATTACTCTTTTCCATAGAAAGCACTAAAATGACTGATATGAGAATAATTGAGAATCAAGACTCAAAACAAAGTACTGAATTAATATCCTTTTAAGTATACTTTGGTTTTATTGCATAATTTATAACTAGAAATAAGAATGAAGTTAAACTAAGTGTTTTTGTTTAATTATTTTAAATTATTTAAAAATTTTTTCATAAAGACTGAAATAAAATATAAAATAAATTTACTGATTCACATTATTCATTTCAAAATCCTCAACTAATTACAGAAAATATTCATAAAAATATTTTTATAAACTTTAATAAAAGAATAAAATAAGTAAAGAGAAATAAAAAGTATTGTTGTAATGTTAAGTTAAAGTGTTATATATTGAGTTTTTAATTGTTCAAATAAATGTCTCAATATTATCCAAGAAATATAACCAATAATTTCATAGACCAATAAAGTATTCATTAATATTATTTTATTTACTTGACAATTCATTTCTTGTTTAACTTCACTTTAATTTCATTGATTTTATTTATTATTTTTTGGAGAAAAATATTTAATTAACCTTAACCATTTATTTAGACAAACTTGTTAGTTAAATGAATTAAATTTAGAATAAAATAATTGAATTATATATTTCCATCTATTTTAATCAACTCACTTATTATGACGTCATCATTAATTCATTGAAATTGTTTCATCTCTTTGAGCATAAAGAGACTGAGCAATGGAAATATTATTTGGTTTAATATAATAAAACTTAATCATTATTACAATAAACTTCTTTTAATAATTAGTTGTGACTGATGATGTGTAATAAAAATAAGTACAGAATTTATTTGTAAGTTAAATTTTAATAAATAATTAACTCAAAAATTGAAATTCAATGAAAAACTAAAGACTAAAAGAATGAGAATTTTATTTTTGTTCCAAAAAATAATATATGTCTATGAAGTAGTTTATGATAAGTGTCTGTAAAAGTGTAATTATGATATTTATTATTTATTCGATATTCTTTTAAATGAAAACAAATAGAGTTGATACATTATCAACCATTTATATTCATTATTTAATTCAACAATAAAATTCAAATTAATAAGCGTCTAGTTTCAATTTTGTAAATTAATAATAATACACAATACTCATATTTTATTCTTATTCATTTATTGTTTGTCAATATTACTTTATTATTTTTGTTTATTTAATAATATAACAACATAAAATGATTAACAGTATATGAAAATATATTTGATATAATATTAATTCTAATTATTCTTTATTTGATAAGAGTTATTTGTTTTCATTTATTTTAATCAAACAATTATTATTTTTCTAATAAATCAACATTTTATGTTCATTTGTTTTGAAAATAATTTTATCGTATTATTTAAGTAATGATAATTCAATATTGTTAAAACAGTCATATCATTTCTGTTGTTATTGTTATTACTATCGTTCATTATTATGTTTGTCATTTCTTTAAACATATCATTTGTTGTTATTGATAATATTACTTGATGAACTGAATTCATAGTTAAAGATTAATTAACTTATTTAATTATTATTAAATTTATTTTATATTCTCTTTAATTTTTTTTATTATTTTTCAAGTTTTATTATCATTTAGTAATAGTGTTTGTTTATAAATCTATTGAACAATCTCAATATCAAATATCTCATCAGTTAATGTTGTTCATTGTTTTTCAATTGATTTATTTTTGTTTTCATATTTTGTTTTTTATTTTTTGAAAAACTAAAAAAGAAAACATAAAAAACATACCATGTCAACTGAACAAGATTCAACAGATGTAGCATTTGATGAGATTGCATCTCCTCTTTCTGATGACATTCAGAAATATGTCAAGAAAGTGTACCAAGCATACTCTGAACTTGTTCAGTTGAATCAAAAACCAGTTGTATTATTGATTGGTCAAACTGGTGTTGGAAAGTCATCAATTATTAACACATTATTCAAAGAAGTAGTTGCATTAGAAGGAGAAACAACCGAAACAACAGAAGGATTTAATAGGTATGCATCAGAAAAGATAAGTATTTATGATTCGAAAGGGTTTTCAGGAATAGAAACAAAGAAATTTATGGGGAGCTTAAAGAACTTTTTAACATTACAAAATGAACGTAAACGAATTCATCTTGTATGGTTTGTAATCAACTCAGCTGTAGGAAGACTTCAACCATTTGAAGAAGAAATTTGTAAAACATTATTAAATGATGTTCCAGTATGTTTTGTGTTAAACAAAGCCGATTTATCAAGTCAAATGAATCGGACACAATTAAAGAAAAGTATACTTGAAATGGGATTAAAGTCGTGCTTAGGAGTGTTTGAGACTGTTGCTGGGACAGTTAGAGGACAACCAGTAAAGATAGACAAATGTCCAAAATGTGGTGGAGATGAATTAGTATGTAAGATAAAGACTAAGACAATGATGTGTTGTAAATGTATGGAAGAATTTAGTGTTGATTCTCAAGAATCTCAATTAATAGAAACAACGTTAAATCACATTCCACCAATGACAAAAAAATTCTTTATTTCAAGTCAAAAAGTTAATTTTAAAATTAAAGATGATGCAGCAAAGATGGAAGTTATTGGTATTGAAAATGAAATAAAAGATGCCACAGTAGAAGAGGCACTTGAAAAGATAATCAAACGAATGATTAATATTTCTATTGTATTTGAATGTAAGAAGAGTGGTGATGAAAATGCTACTAAGAAGTTTTTTACATTATTGTTTAATGGAAAAAGTAATTTAACTAAGAAAATTATGAAACTCATTAAAGGAGATGATGAAGACGAAAAAGCTAAAGCATTTGCTATAGCAGTTGAGTGGTATCGTGCATTACGGTCTATCTGTTGGTCAAGTATTCAATCACCAAGACCATCACTAACACCTGAACAAGCAATTGAAGTTGTCAAAGAAGCATTAGAAGTACTTGAAGATGGAGAATTAGAGGATATGAGAATTAAATTAGAAAGTTTTGGTTTAGAAGAAGTCCTTAAAGAGTGTCAAGAATGGGATATTGACGATAATCTAAAATCACTTCAACAACAAGATGATATTCAAAACAAAGATATAAAATAGAAGACATCTCATAAATTATTCGTTATTGTATTTGATGTTTACAATAAATAACAAAAGAATAAAAGAAAGGCAAATATAATAAAAAAAAGAAAGAATAAAAAAGGAAAGATAATAATAAAAATTAAAATATAATAAAATATTATAAAAAATATAACTAAAAACATTACTTTTAATGTAGTAAACATTGAGTATTGATTATTCTAGAAATTAAATAGTTGTTAATTCTGTTATACCATTTGATTTAAAATATGTTAGTATTAGAATAACACTTTCTAACACACTTTCATAATTTATTAGAAAAGGGTGTAAGGTGTAGTGTTAATAGTTTGTGGTTTGTTATATTTCATTGAATGTTTATTTTAGTTAATTGCTATTAATGTTTTTATTGATTGTTTTGACTTATAGTCATTTTGTTAATCTACTCAAATTAATAAGTCTTGTTATCATTTCATATTTTATATTCACTTCTTTGTATTTATTTAATTTGATTTCTTTTAAGATCGTTTTATCAATTCAGAATATACATTATATTTTGTTGCAATGCCTATTGAGTAATACCATAGAGTCTTGTAAAGAAAATCAAACAACAAACAGGTATTCAAGTTCAAAGAAAAGAAAGAATAAAATAACAATGAAATACATAATAATTATGATAAAAGAAATAACAAGAGAAAAGTGAATAGAAGAAGAAGAATACAAAGAGAAACAAATAAGAAACAATGTAAATATAATGATAATAAACATTATACAAATAATAAATCTAAATTATTAACAACAAATGAAATTAAAATGAAAATTAAAAGAATAAGAAATGAAAATGAGAAATGAGAATACCTAGAATTACTTAAAAAGTATGAAGGTAAAGAGAATGTATAATTCCCCAAGAAGTATATTCAATAAGAATAAAATAATAAAGAAAAACAA